AAAGAGACAGAGAGTGACAGAATGGATTAAAAAAACAGGATCCATCAGTATGCTGTCTACAAGAAACACACCTTAGAAACAAAGGCATAAATTTATTAAAAATCAAAGGATGGAAAAAAATACATCAAGCAAACAGCCACCAGAAAGGAGCAGGAGTGACAATACTAATCTCAGGTAAAATAGACTGTTTAAAAAAACCAACCATAAAAGACAAAGAAGGACACTATATCATGATTAAAGGGACAATCTGTCATGAAAGACATAACCATAATAAGTATCTACGCATCCAATGACAGGGCTCCAAAATACGTGAAACAAACTTTAACAGCTCTGAAAAGAGAAATTGACAGTTCCACTATAATAATACAAGTCTTCAACACACCACTCTTGGTAAAGGACAGAACATCTAGAAAGAAACCCAGCAAAGATACAGAAGATCTAAAGGCTACAATCAGTCAACTTGAACTCATAGACATATATAGAACACTCCACCCAACAGCTGTAAAGTACACATTCTTTTCCAATGCATATGAAACGTTCTCCAGAATAGGCCACAAAGTAACCCTCAGCAAAATCCAAAACATTGAGATAATACAAAGTATTTTCTCTGATTACAGCACCATCAAAGTAGAAATTAACAACAGAAAGAGCAAGAAAAAAAAATCAGTTACATGGAAAGTAAATAACACCCTGCTTAAAAACCACTGGTTAATAGAAGAAATCAAAGATGGAATCAGAAAATTCCTAGAATCAAATGGGAATGAAAACAGATTATACCCAAACCTTTGGGACACAGCAAAGGCTGTGCTCAGAGGTCAGTTTATAGCAGTAGATATACACATCAAAAAAGAAAGGACAAAATCAAAGCATTAGCTACGCAACTTGAACAAGGGACAAAATCAAAGCATTAGCTACACAACTTGAACAAATAGAAAGAGAACAGCAAAAGAAGCCCACAGCCACCAGAAGAAAGGAAATAATAAAGATCAGAGCAGAAATAAATGAAACAGAGAATAGAAACCAATAGAAAGAATCAACAAAACCAAAAGTTGGTTCTCTGAAAGGAACAACAAAATTGACAAACCACTAACCAAACTGACAAAAGAAAAACAGGAGAGGACACAAATAACCCAAATAAGAAATGAGGGATATTACAACAGACCCAACTGAAATAAAAAAGATCATAACATAGTATTATAAAAAACTATGATCCAGCAAATTTGAAAATCTAGAGGAAATGGACAAATTTCTAGAAACACACTACCTACCCAAGCTATCACAAATTGATGTTGAAAATCTGAACAGACCGATAAAAGGAGAAGAGATTGAAAAGGTAATAAAACTCCCAACAAAAAAAGCTCTGGCCCAAATGGCTTCAGTGGAGAATTCTGCCAAACATTCAGAGAAGAGCTCACACCAGTACTACTCAAACTATTTCAGAACATAGAAAAGGAAGGAATACTTCCAAATTCATTCTATGAAGCCAGCATAACCCTGATACCAAAACCAGGCAAAGACACCACAAAAAAAGAAAATTACAGATCAGTGTCTCTCATGAATATAAATGTAAAAATTCTCAAGAGAATTCTAGCCAATAGAATTCAGCTTCATATCAAAAAATAATACACCATGACCAAGTAGGATTCATACCAGGTATGCAACGATGGTTCAGCATTAGAAAATCAAAGTAATCCAACACATAAGTAAAACAATCACATGATCATCTCAATTGATGCGGAAAAGGCATTCAAAAAAGTCCAACACCCATTCCTGATAAATACTCTCAATAAAATAGGTATAGAAAGGATATTCCTCAACATTATAAAGGGCATCTGTACAAAACCAACAGCCAACATCATTCTTAATGGAGAGAGGCTGAACTCATTCCCCTTGAGAACCTTTATTACCACTCCTATTTAACATTGTGCTGTACGTCCAAGCTAGAGCAATAAGGCAAGAGAAAGAAAGGGCAGCCAAACTGGTATTGAAGAAGTAAAACTACCCCTATTTGCAGATGATATAATACTGTATATAGAAAACCCCCAAAGACTCCATGAGAAAACGACTGGAACTTATAGAGTCAGCAGAGTAGTAGGATATAAGATAAACATACAGAAATCTGTTGGAGAGAATAAAGAGAATGACGAAAAGGAAAAGAATAGCATTTATAATAGTCCCTAAAAACAAAAAAATGCTTAGGAATAAATCTAACCAGGGATGTAAAAAGACATATACAAAGAAAACTACAAAGCACTACTGCAAGAAACCAAAAGAGATCTACATAAATGGAAAAACATACCATGCTTATAGATAGGTAGACTCAATATTGTGAAAATGATGGTTCTACCCAAAGTGATCTACAAATACAATGCAATCCAGATCCAAATACGAACAACATTCTTTAAACAGATGGAAAAAAAATCAGTAACTTTATATGGAAAGGGAAGAGGCCCTGGATAAGTAAAGCGCTATTGAAGAATAAAGTAGGAGGACTCGCACTACCTGACCTCAGAACCTACTATACAGCTACGGTAATCAAAACAGCCTGGTACTGGTACAAAGACAGATATATTGACCAATGGAACAAAATCGAGAATCCAGATGTAAATCCATCCACCTACGGTCACCTAATCTTCAACAAGGGCCCAAAGTCCATCAAAAGGGGTAAAAGACAGTCTTTTTCACAAACTGCTGGCAAAACTGGATGTCCATCTGCAAAAAAATGAAACAGGACCCATACCTCACACCATACACAAAACCTAATTCAAAATGGATCAAATCCTAAATGTAAAACCAAAAACTATAAAGATCATAGAAGAAAAAATTGGATCACTGCTAGAGACCCTAATACATGGCATTAACAGGATACATACAAACTCCATAAGATAAGCTGGATAACTGGGATCTTCTAAAAATTAAACTGTTATGCTTGTCAAAAGACTTCACCAAAAGAGTAAAAAGAGAACCTGCAGACTGGGAAAAAAATTTTGGCTGTTACAAATCCAACAAAAGTCTAATCACTAAAATCTGCAGGAAAATCCAATACCTCTACAAAAACAGGACAAATAATCTAATTAAAAAATGGACAAAGGAAATGAATGGAGACTTCACCAAAGAAGACATTCAAGTGGCTAACAGATATATGAGGAAATGCTCACAATCACTAGCCATTAGAGAAATGCAAATCAAAACCACAATGAGATACCATCTCACCCTGGCATTAATGACACAAATGAAAAGAAAAAAAAAACAAAATAACAAAAACATAAAATAAGAAATATTGGTGAGGCTGTGGGGAGATTGAAACTCTTATGCACTTCTGGTGGAAATGCAAAATGGTACAGCTGTTTTGGAAAACGATATGGCACTTCCTTAGAAAGCTAGAAGTAGAAATACTATATGATCCAGCAATCCCACTCCTAGGAATATATCCTTGAGAAATAAGAGCCGTCACACGAATAGACATATGCACACCCATGTTCACTGCAGCACTCTTTACAATAGCAAAAAGATGGAAACAACCTAGATGCCCATCAACAGATGAATGGAGAAACAAACTGTGGTACATACACACAATGGAGTACTATGCAACGATAAAGAACAATGATGAATCTGTGAAGCATCTCACAACGTGGATGAGTCTGGAGGGCATTATACTGAGTGAAATAAGTCAATCACAAAAGGACAAGTATTGTATGAGACCACTACTATAAAAACTTGTGAAAAGGTTTACACCCAAAAAGAAACAATCTTTGATGGTTATGAGGGAGACGAGGAGTGGGAGTGGAAAAATACTAAATAGACAATAGATAAGTAGTAACTTTGGTAAAGGGTAAGACAGTATACAGTACTGGGGCAGCCAGCACAGCTTGTTCAGGATAATGTCATAGAAGCTCCATACAAATCCAAAGTCCCTTAGGGATTGAATTACTGGGCTGAGTGTTGTGGGGACCATGATCTCAGGAAACATCTAGCTCAATTGGCGTAACATAGTTTATAACAAAATGTTCTACATTCAACTTTAGTGAGTAGCGTCTGAGGTCTTAAAAGCCTGTGAGCAGCCATCTAAGATACTTCACCGGTCTCACCCCTTCTGGAGCAAGGGATAATAATGAAAACTAAAGACACAGGGAAAGTTTAGTCCAAGGGACTAGTAGACCACAACTACCACAGCCTCCACCAGACTGAGTCCAGTACAACTAGATAGTTCCTGGCTACCACCACTGCCTGCTGTGACAGGGATCACAATAGAGTGTCCAGGACAGAGCTGGAGAAAAGTGTAGAACGAAATTCTAACTCACAAAAAAAGACCAGACTTACTGGACTGACAGAGACTGGGGAAACCCTGAGAGTATGGCCCCCGGACACCTTTTTAGCTCAGTAATGAAGTCACTCCAGAGGTTCACCTTTTAGCCAACGATTAGACAGATCCATAGGACAAAATGAGACTAAAGGGGCACACCAGCCCAGGGGCAAGGACTAGAAGGCAGGAGGGGATGCTGAAGCTGGTAATAGGGAACACAGGGTCGAGAAGGTAGAGTACTGACATGTCATGGGGTTGTTAACCGGTGCCATAATACAGTATATGTTCTAACTGTTTAATGAGAAGCTAGTTGGTTCTGTAAACCTACATCTGAAGTACAATTTAAAAAAAGAAAAAAATTGGTAGTACAGTAGCAAGATTACAAATGGAAATGAAAATCAAGAAATAAATGGCCATCTTATTATTTTATTATCACCCATAATACTCATATTCTATTCCTTTATATCATTTTATTTTTCTGTTTATAGTTGTAGGTATATGCTAAAGAGTTTTTAAATAAAAGTTGTATTTTAGTTTTAAAAATAGCTTTCTGTGTTGGGAAAAAAAAGTCCTGCTTTTTTGTTCCAGTTCTATCTTAGGCTTGTTATTTATTAATGACTTGACATTTAAAACCAAATCATCCTTTATACCAGAGGCAAGGTGAATGATCGTTTTTATACATCTCCTTTTTCTTTAGAAACTGCCCTCGGTGCATTAGCAAGAGTCCTGAGAGAAGACTGGAAACAAAGTGTTGAGTTAGCTACAAATATAATTTACATCTTTTTTTGCTTTTCAAGGTAAATATAAAAATTATGAAGTAAAATAAAAGTGGTAGTCTGTCTCTGTTTTTCTCTATGCCATTGGTTCAGTCTGTAAATCACTTGTTTTCTTGGGCTTTCTTTGTGTCTTCTCATACTCTGCCTCTGAACTCTTATTTATCTGTGTTTCCCATTCTCTGTCCTGCTCTCTTATTTTTTTATTCAGTTGACACATACCCATGCATGTACACACACACACACACACACAGAAATACACATGCATGCACACACACACAGTAAGGTAGTATAATGGTTTAGAGTTTAAGGCTCTGGAAGTAGACTGTTTGGATTTGCATCCCAGCCCTGCTATTTATTAGCTTTTTGACCTTGGTTATGTTACATTACTTCTCTGTATCTCACTTTCCTTATCTGCAAAATGTGGATAGTAATACGAGTCAGAATCGACTCGATGGCAACGGGTTCGATTTTTTGGTTTAGGGTAGTTTTTAGGATTAAATGAATTAATGAACTAAAATATATAGAATAAAGCTTGGCCCAGAGAAAGTGCTCAATAATTGTTATTGTTATATATACAAATACATGTACACATGTGTATATGTTATGTATCCATATGTATTATTTATCAACGTATATTCTTTACAAAGAGGATGTTTATTCAGACATTGTGAAAAATTTCTAGCCAGTTCTTAGAGAATTGCTTGCCTCTATTCTAAAAATGTGCCAGCATTACCAAATATATTTATTGAATAAATATCTGAATGAATGAATTGTTTAGGAAATATGTACAACCCTGATTACTAGTATGTTATTGGTTTGTTTGTTCTCTCATACCAGTTTTATGCAATAAATAAGATGTAGTTCTAGTATTGTTACATTATTAATTTTATCAGACGGTAGTCTGAAAATTTGAGAGTATCTGACTGAGTAGTTAATTACAAAAATGTATTTTAATTCTAACTTCTTAAAAATAATTAACAAGTGATTTCAGGTAAGTGTAGTATGTTAAAATATATTTAAAACTAATCTTATGATTTCGAGTCTTTCTGGTATACTATGAGTATGTTCATTTATTGCTTGTACTAATGTGTACCCAAAACAAATTTCCTCAACCCATAGAGTGTATTCCTTTAAATACCTGTTAAAATCTCTTCTTTAAAGCTTTTCTCAGTTTCATGGACTTATTACCCATTATAAAATTGGAGCTCTGTGTATGAACATCATTGATCATGAGTTAAAAAGACATGAGCTTTGGCAAGAAGAACTTTCTAAAAAGAAGAAAGCTGATATCCTTTAAGAATGGAATTTCACCCCATTGTTGCCCGTTGCTGTAAGCTTTGGATAAATGGGATGGTTTTGTTGTTGTTATTTTTATTTGCCATTAAGATTACTTGGAAAAAAGACAAGATGTTTAGTGTGTTGAAGGTTAAGATAAAGATTGAAAATATCAGAATGAATATAGTTTGACATATGTTTTTTGTCTCTTCACAACTTTGATTAGTTAGGTAGTGGGAGCAAGCAGTGGTGGTTGTGGATAACTGGATTGGTGAGTCCCTAAGTGGCTACACCAGATGTCCATTAAGATCCTTTGGTTAGTTAAAGCCTGGTTTACCACTGATGCTTTTGTACTTCTCTGAGTACTAGAGTGACTTTGCTTAGAATGAATGTAAATTTGGTGATGAACCTAATTTTGAATTCTGTTTTTCTAATTAAGTGCAAAAATACTTTCTTAATATATACAAATTGGAGAGGCCTATAAAATGATAGAACCTGTGAAAGGAACCTTAGAAATTAACCTATCTTGCAATAAAAGAATCTTTTCTGTAACATCCCTGGCAGATGGTTATAATAGGCTCTTCTCTAACAGTGTAACTGCTTAGTGATTCAGTTCATTCTATGGTTTGGGCTTCTACTTATTATAATATTCTTTTGTTTAGTGAACCAAAGTCCATTTCTCAATAACTTCTATCATTTTGTTCTAGCCTTCCATAGTGAAGCAATAGAGAATAAGGACATTTGCTTCAATATCACAGTTCTCACATTTGAAGATATTTGTCATATTGCCTCTACAAATCAATTCTAGATTGAATGCCCTGGTTTATTCATATCGGTCTTTACATGACATGTGTTCCAGATTAACAAGCATGCTAGTTCCTTTCCTTTGAACCCAACATTTATTGATGTCTTTTAAAAAGTGAAAACATTATTTCTGTTGTACAAAATACCATACTTTTCATACCTCCCTTTAGTGGAAAAAGTGGACAATGTTCTTATATTAATTTTGGCTTCCAAAGACTCTAGACTTGAATTTTATCTCAACTGTGATATATAGATTAATCGTGAGCGTTCTGTAAGGATCTCTCAGGCTTTTATAATTGTCATTTGGAATCCCCAAGACACTATAAAAATGCACCCCTCCCCCCCAAACTTTGAATTCTCTTAATTAGGATCTCTCCAGGTTTAGAAATTTTCTGTGTTTGCTGTAAGCTTCTTGTATCTAGAGTGGTATTGACCTGTACTACTAGGACAACTTAATAACCTTGGAGACTTGAGATCAACCCTGGAGCCCAAAGCCTCCTGAATGGTTCAGTATAACCAAAATTTATTTAAATAGGAGAGGAAGGGAGAGGACCACTACTGGGACTTTTTAGTAATCGTTAATTTGCTATGCATTCTTTGTGATTGTGATTAGTGACAAGAACTGATTTTATTTCAGGACATGTATTTCTGTCAGAACCTATTGATTGTAAGATATACTTTTATTTATGAACCACTAAGAAAGGAAAGAATGTGTCCAATTAAACCATGACACATCATGGATTGTAAGACACATCCCAATTTTGCAGTAGTTAAAATGTGGGGAAAGTGTGTCTTAGAATCAGTGGGTTGTGATAATTGAGGAGACATCAAAATTACCTTTCAGAATTCTGGCCCTTTTTCTTGAAATATGTACTATTTTACGAAGCCCTAAGTTTTCTTCTGTTTTGATGCAAATAACATTCAAGAAAGTCAACTGCTTGATTCATGTTCTGGGGTTATTCTTGGGGATTGTCAAGTCAAACTAAAGTAACTGGTTATTTCTGCAAGTCCAGGGTACTATTATGGACTATAAGATGTACTTTTTAAAATTTGTTTACCTGTAATTCTAGAATACTTCTTTTGGAATCTCTAGTCTGAAGAGGGTGGTAAAAAGTTTTAGATCTAATCTGCATTCTTTAAATATTCTGGGCATCTGTCTGAAGCTGAATTCAGTGTTTAATTAATTAATTTACTTGTTATGGATCCATTTGATAATCTGTTGAAAGTTCTAGACTTTACACCTACATAAAATATTTGTGTGCAGTTTCTGCGGATTCAAGTACTTGGTGAAAGTCAGAAGTGTGCACACTATGACTCTGAGGGTATGCTTGATCCCTAGGCTAGGACGTCGTATTATAGCACAGTTATTGTGCAGAGAAGAACATTTTAGTTAAAATAAACTATTGGCTAGAGAAAATAATGGAATAAAGTTGCATATAAAATTTAATAGTGCTGTTTGTCATAATATTTTTCAGTAAGTTTTATTTGCTTCAGTGAGTCCATATGATCCTTAACTTAGGTTGTTTACTTGATGAAGACCCTGAAAACCAAACCTTGAGAAAGGATTATGAAAAAACATTTAAAAAATACCAAGGGCTTGTGGTAAAACAGGAACAGCTTTTACGAGGTATGAATTCCTAAACAATTAGAAATGCAATTGATTACTCTAAAAACATTTATTTTGTTCTAGTTTTATCATTCTAGTAAAATAACAGAATAACTGAAAATTCTGTAAGTTTTAATATGCTATGAGTTCATCTGTCTTTAGCTTGAGTAACAATGTTTTAAATATAACTGCATTATCTTTCCACCAAAGGGCTCTGTTTAGCTCTTAAATGTATATGTATTTATAATGTATTTACTCAAAGAAGATTTTTTAATCTAATGTGTGACCTTTTTAATAAGAATCCTGTTTTCTGCAAATCTTAACTTACTTGTCTTATATAATAGTAAATGATTTTGTTACTTTCCATGGAAATTGATGTAAATGTTTTCAAAATATTTCTTTTTTAATAGAAAATAGTCCCATGTTTCTGGGCTTTTTGAGAGAGAGAAAATTTCAGTAGTATGTTTTCTAGGTCATTAATAAGACACAAATCCTGTGATGGTCACTGAGAATGATGTGGGGCTTTTAAGTGTGCAATTTAATTTCTTGTTCGCAGTTGGTTATTGATTTTTAGGTCAGCTCATTGGCCCGTTGTACAATGAAAACTATAAAACATTACTGAAAGAAATTAAATAAATAATAAATGGAAGAGCATCTTGTGCTCATGGATCAAAAGACCCAATATTTTTAAGATGTCAATACCTCCTAATCTGCAGATCTGGTACAATACTAATCAAACTTCCAGTAACCTTCTTTGCAGAAATAGAAAAGCAAATCTTCAGATTTATATGGAACTGTAAGGGGCTCCAAATAGCCATAGCAATTTTAAAAATTATAAAGCTGCAGTAATCAAAACAGTCTGGTATTGGTATAATAATAGACAGATAGACCAGTGGAATAGAATAGAGAGTCCAGAAATAAATCTGCACATCTGTGGTCAGTTAATCAACAACAAGGATGCTAAATCCATCCAGTGGGGAAAGAATAGTCTCTTTAATAAGCAGTGCTGGGACAACTGGATTTCCAAAACGTAAGAACGAACCTGGATCCATACCTTACACCACAGATGAAAACTAACTCAAAATGGATCAAAGACCTAAATGTAAGATCTTAAAACCATAAAACTCTTAGAAGAAAACATATGGGTAATTCTTTGACTTCTAGTTTACAGCAATGGATTCTTAGATATGACACTGAAAACACAAGCAACAGAAGACAAAACAGATAAATGGGACCTCCTCAAAGTTTAAAACTTTTGTTCATCAAAGGACTTTATCAACAAAATGAAGAGAGAACCTACAGATTGGGAGAAAATTTTTGGAAACCGTATTTCTGATAAAAGTTTATTATCTAGAATACATAAAGAACCCCCTACAACTTAACAACAAAAAGACAACACAATCAAAAAATGGGCAAAGGACTTGAATAGACATTTCACTAAAGAAGAAATAAGCCAATAAGAAATGGCCAATAAGCACATGAAAAGATACTGAACATCATTAGTCATTAGGGAAACTAAAATCAAAACCACAATGAGATATCAGTTCACACCCACAAAGATGGCTATGATTAAAAAACATGGAAAACATCAGGTGTTGGCGAAGATGTGGAAAAACAAACTTATCCATTGCTGATGGATTGTAAAATGGTACAGCCACTGTGGAAAGCAGTCTGGTGGTTCCTCAAAAAGTTAAACATAGAATTATTATACAATCTATCAGTTCTACTTCTAGATATATACCCAAAAGAATTTAAAGCAGAAACACAAACAGATACATGTACATTAACCTTCATTATAGCGGCAAGGCCAAGATGGCAGAGTAGTCAGATGCTTCCTGTGGTCCCTCTTACAACAAAGACCTGAAAAAACAAGTGAATTGATTATACATGACAATCTAGGAGCCCTGAACATCAAAGGCAAAGTTGAGAAATCGGACTGAGTGGCAGGGGGAGGGAGAGACAGTTCGGAAGCAGCACGGAGTTGCCAAACCTAACCTGGTGGGAGCCGGCATCCTTCAGGACATATAGACTGGCATGCACGGTGAGACAACCAGTGGCGTTTGTGAGGCGTTTTCCACATAGGGAGAGACCAAGCAGCGGAGAGTCTACTCACACCATTGGACTCAGTGAAAAGCAGCACTCAACTGGGAAAAGATAAGTAAATGCATCTGACCTACCGCATGGATCAAAAAACACCCGCTTTGGGAAAAACTTCCCTCCCGTTTACCTGCCACCTCCTTGCTCTGCACCAGGTTAGCTTCTGCAATTGCCGAGTCCCCTGGGCCGGAAGTGGGACCCATCACTCACCCTGAGCCATTCTCCTGGCCTTGGAGAGGGAACAAATTAACAAAGAGGAAAAAATAATCTGCTGGCTCCTCGAAGCCAGCAACTCAGGAAGACACAGCTCCTTTACCTAGGCACAGGCGTAAGGGGGTCCATGGACTTTGCATGCCTTTCATCCCTGTGCAGACCTGTATGGGCCCATTTCAACAGCGTAGGCCCTCATTACCACAGTACAACAGGGTATATACCTGAAGCCTAACTTCAGCTGTATCAGCTATATAGTGAAGTGTCAGATTCGTTACATTTGACACTGCTTTGCCCATTAAGCAGGCTCCTCACCTACCCACATCAGGGGCCTGAGGACTGGTGGCCCCACCCATGCCACCTAGCCACCCATGACAGGGGTCCAAGAATAAGAGGTGCCTCCCACTCCTTACAGCCAACAGCATTGGGTACTCATAGTCCAGCTGCAAAACCCACCCACCTATGCTCTCTAGGGAACATGGACACGCTCTCCTTCCAGACACTCAGGGGCAGACGCCAGCCCCCTGCTTTGCTCAGCGTGTTACCCCTATTGCAGCCAGATACCTGTGCCTACACAAATCACCCCTGCCTGTCTAGGACTGTAGGTAAGAGCCTGCACCACGCTTGGTGACCGACTACCTGAACACCTGAGCTGAAGCTATACAAGAAAAGTAAACAGACTCCTTGTCTCACATAACTAGTAACAGATCTAACCAACTGGTGACAGGACATTCAAAGGAGCCAGTAAGCAAACTAGCTCACACAAGCATCCTATTTGGGCATATCAAAACAAAACAAGAAGCTAGGATTCAGTAAGCAAACAAAAAATAAATATAATAACTTACTGATGGCTCGGACACAACAGTCAGTATCAAATCACAAAGAGGCAGACCATGTTGAATTCAGCAAGCTCCCAAAACAAAGAATCAAAAAATTTTCCCCAGGAATAGAATTTCTTGGGATTACTGCAGGTAGAATACAAAAGATTAACATATGGAACTCTTCAAGATATCAGGAAGGAGAACAGTCAAAACACAGAAGAATCCAAGGAGCACACAGACAAAGCAATAGAGGAATTTAAGAAGATTAGAGAAGAGCATAATGACAAATTTAACAGGCTATAAGAATCCTCAGAGAGACAGCAAACAGAAATCCAGAAGATTAACAATAACATTTCAGAATTAGACAACTCAATAGAAAGTCATAGGAGCAGAATTGAGGCAATGGAAGTCAGAATTAGTGAGATTGAAGATAAAACACTTGACACCAACTTATTTGAGGAAAAATCAGATAAAAAGATTTTAAAAAATGAAGAAACCCTAAGAATTATGTAGGACTGTATCAAGAGGAATAACCTACAAGTGATTGGAGTACCAGAATGGGCGGGGGGGGGGGGCAGATAACAGAAAATACAGAGAGAATTAGTGAAGATTTATTGGCAGAAAACTTCCCTGATACGTGAATGATGAGAAGTTATCTATCCAAGATGCTCATCGAACCCCATATAAGGTAGATCCCGAAAGATAGTCACCAAGACATATTATAATCAAACTTGCCAAAACCAAAGATAAAGAGAGAATTTTAAGAGCGGCTAGGGATAAATGAAAAGTCATCTACAAAGGAGGGTCAGTAAGACTAAGCTCAGACTACTCAGCAGAAACCAGGCAGGTAAGAAGGCAATGGGATGACATATATAAAGCCTTGAAGGAAAAAATATGCCAGCCAAGAATTATGTATCCAGCAAAACTCTCTCTCAAATATGATGGCGAAACTAAAGCATTTCTAGAAAAACAGAAGTTTAGGGAATTTGCAAAAAACAAATGAAAATTACAAGAAATAGTAAAGGGAGTCCTCCAGTTAGAAAATCATAACATCAGATAACAACCCAAGACTAGAACACAGGAAAGAGCAACCACATATCAACCCAGATAGGGAAGTCACAAAGCTAAATCAAAGCTAAAACACTGAAAACAGGGAAACAGAGACATCAACATGTAAAAGATGACAACATTAAAACAAAAAAGAGGGAGTAAAAAATGTAGTCATAGATCTTACATATGGAGAGGAAGTCAAGGTGATATAAATAAAAGATTGGTTTGAACTTACAAAAAATAGGGGTAAATATTAAGTTAACCACAAAGGAAACTAACAATCCTACACATCAAAATAAAAACAAGAAAAATATAAAGACTCAGCAAATACAAAGTCAACAACAATGAAAAAGGTGAAGAGAAAATACATTAAAAAAAAGAGACTCAGCACAGAAAGTTAAGTGGAACAAAGAAACTGTCAACAACACACAAAAAAATACATCAAAATGATAGCACTAAACTCATACCTATCAGTAATTATGCTGAATATAAATGGACTAAATACACCAATAAAGAGAGAGTGGCAGAATGGTTAAAAAAAAATCCGTCTATATGCTGCCTACAGGAGACACACCTTAGACTTAAAGACACAAACAAACTAAAACTTAAAGGGTGGGGAAAAATATATCAAGCAAACAACACTCAGCAAAGAGCAGGAGTGACAGTATTAATCTCTGACAAAATAGACTTTAAAGTAAAATCTACCACAAAGGATAAGGATGGACATTATATAATGATTAAAGGATCAGTACACCTGGAGGACATAGCCATAATAAATATTTACGCACCCAACGACAGGGCTCCAAAATACATAAAACAGACTCTAACAGCATTGAAAAGAGA